GCTTAGTAGAAGGTTCTCGGGTCTCCATTCCATGTTTGCCCCGGTAACCTCTTTTAGCCATTTTTAGCTTTTTTTTTTAAGATCCCACCTTCTGTGAAGTCAAAATGGTTTACCCTGCTGGATTTCCACCAATTCTTGCAACATTTTCTTTTAAAAAATAAAATAAAATAAATCCCCTAAAATACCAAGAACTATTAGGCATACCCCAATTTATACTAACCACAATAGAATTGGATCTAGGGCAGGATTGGGCCATCTATGGACTGGGTACAGCCACCCTGATTCTCATTTCTAGCTCCCAAAGCAATGTAAAGCAGGCAGGGTAGGTTTAGGTCTATGTGTGTGAGTTTTGTGAGGGTTTTAAGTGGCAAAAATGTATCTCTTAATAAAAACCCAAACATCAGACCAAATTACCCCAGGGACAGTTTAAAGCACCTGTTTCTCCCCTTTAATATTTCCCAGCAAGAGTGCAAATTATAGTCTCACCCACTCTGGTAATCCTGAATAGCACTGACCCCCAACCTTTTGGGCACCAGGGACCGTTTCTGTGGAGAGAGGTTTTTGCACGGACTGGAGCGGGCATCATTCTGCCTGCATCCCACAGATGGGGCCTCGCTGCTTGTACAACCCCGTTTCTGGCATTCCGAAGACTGGTGCCAGTCAACAGGAATGCTTTCCTGCAGTGGGAAAACAAGTGCAGTCTTGCTTGCTAATGTTAATTGTTTCAAGCTTCTAGTCCTTTTTTAGGGTGAACTTTTCACAGCAAGCATTGTGTTTTATTTATTTTAAACAAACTTCAGCTTCTGGGTGTTGAAGTCTACACATCTTAAAGTTGCCATGGAGAACTAGCATGATAGCATAAAAATACTCCCTCCCCCATCCCGCTATTTTCAGAAAACTATTGAAGTCAACCCTAGTCCTGATGCCCCTCTTTGGTGTCCATTACATGGTGTTTATGGCTACGCCGTACACAGCTGTCTCCAGCACACTTTGGCAGATACAGATGCATTATGAGATGCTCTTCAATTCTTTACAGGTGAGTTTTTGCTTATGAAACTTGCTTTTGAATCACTCTGTCCCAACTAGTTCTGACTTTTGTTTGTCTCTGTCTCTGGTTAGGGCTTCTTCGTGGCACTAATTTACTGTTTTTGCAATGGTGAGGTAAGAACATGAATTTTGCAGCTATGTCTATGGAGACACAAACATGAGCATGTGTATAAAGTTAGTTTTTCTCTAAAGTGTTTGTATGAATTTTCAAGTGCAGCCACCAATTTATTAACTCTTATCACATGATCTGACTTATATTTTCTCTTCTAGAAAAATAATAGCACTTTGCATGAAATATTTACATTTTCCAAATGGAGCATTGCTAAAAGCTGTGCTTTTTTGAGCCAACATCCTATTTTCTGATTGACTAGTTGATTGCATATAATTTGTATTCCAACCCAACGTAAAGGGTGAAAACCTTCACAAATAAAACAATTTCAACATAACCCTAAAACTAACCAGTCAAAAAAAACTCCATAAAACTATTCTCCAAAGTCTGCAGAGATTCTGTCATCCGGGTCATGGTTGTCCCAAGGGTGCTTTTCAGGAGGCAAATGGATTTTCTTGTTCTTTCTTTGAAGACATCTTCAAGCTATTCTCATCCAAGAAGCTTCTTCAGCTCTAAACCTCCAAGTGCTTCAATGACCATAAAAGGATGAAATGACCAGTTGTCTGCAAGGAATATAAATCCTTCCATTCACCACTATCTTGACAGACCTGAAAAAGCTTCTTGGATGAGAAGCGAAATGTCTTCAAAGAAAAAACGATAAAAGTCCAGTAGCCTCCTGAAAAAGCACCTTTGAGACTATTCTCCAAAGGTTGAGTAGGATGTAAATTCCTTTTCTGAATAAAAGAAAGGGGACCATTCTGACCAGTGTGGGGGGGGGGAGGAGAAGCTGATGCCTGACTCTAATCCAATAGATGACCTCTCTCAACAGTATTATGTTAAACTACATGGAGAACAATACTGTATATGAACCCCGTGGCATCCCACATAGGGGTAGCCAAGGATTTGACTTCCCACCTCCCCTCACATGCTGACTAGACCTATCTAATCATGGAGTAGAAGCAGTTTTAACACAATGCCTCCAATCTTCACAGGCAGTCCAGAAACCTTAAGTACTTTGTTTTGGAGTTAGTGATTAGAACGTCACATTGTGCTAAAGCCTTGGCATTTGATGTTGGGTCTTGCTTAGTATTATGCATGAGCACAATAAATCATGCTTAATAAGCAATAAAACATAATTAGTTTGTGTGAATTTAGTAAAAAAAATGGCAATTGCATATCAGACCTACACAAGCCATGCTAATCTTCACCTTTTACCTTTTTGAAAAACAAACCTAAACTATACCTTGGGGTAACATTCCATCCTAAGACTGTGGTGGGGTATCCAATTTGAAATTTAGGGCTAACTTTCCAATTGGAAAAATAAGTACATATTGGAGTTTTAAGAAAAAATGAAGAATTGTGGGCACCTAATAATTTGGGCCAAAGCTGCTTCTACCACATATTCAGAATTGAGAACAAGACACACATTGAATTAGCCAAGTTTATATTCCTTTGATAACCTGTCTCTATCTCTAGGTACAAGCTGAAATTAAAAAAGCTTGGTTCCGGAGAAATTTGCTACTGGACATAAAGCAGAAGACCCGTGTCACCAGCACAGGAGGGAGCTGTTATTATGGTGGCTTAGCATCCCATGTTACCAATAGCATTAGTTTAAGCATGGCCAGCTGGGGTACAGCCTCTGCAACAGCGATTGCTATGCCTTTGGTTGCCAGAAATTGGCTTATGCAGTTAGCCAGCAGTGGTGCTACACTGGAATACTTTCCTGCTTCTTCTACTCTATATAACTGCTTGAGTCAGGAGATGATGCAAAAAGCTCCTGAGGAGATAATTAAGGCTTTGGTGGATTCTCCAGGCCTAGAAAACAATTCCTGCTTGAAAAAAGATATTGAGACCATGCTATAGAGATTAAAAACACAACCATCCATAGATAGTTAGCAAGTTGCTAGATTGAATCCTGAGCTACTCATCATTGTAATGACTAGGGCTAGCTAGATTACTACTGATATGAAAAGATTATTTATTAGCCATTTCTGACTGGTGTTGTGTGCCTATAATTTTATTATGGCTCTAGAGGACTGCCTAGGGAGATAGATAACAGCTAGCAAAATTGCATCTATTTATTTCCAAACATTCTGATCGGCAAGAGAAATCTGCCTTCTTGCCCTGCATTTGCCAGTTCATCCTCAGCAACAATGCTTATCTATATATTCTAGCAGTGAAAAGCATTTGATTCTCTCACTTGTAATAAATTGTAATACTTGTAGGGCTCCAAGATTAAGCAGGCAAAACTGTTAACTAACATTTCAGCTAATCATAAGTAGAGTACTTTCTCATTTAACCAGTACGGAGTGTGAGAGAAGTAAATTTGCTTTTGATGTTCAATTTTATTCTTGTGTTGTAGTATAGTGAGAAATAAATGACAATGTTTCCTTCTAACATTGATTTGTTATTTAATTATCAATTCTACATCAGTGATATACAATGGATTTTTAAAAAACATATACGGAAGTTTGTCCCATTTTTCAACAAATCATTCCTCCCAACATGACAGTAACCATTCTTGAAAAGAATTGATTATTCTGCCAAACTACTGTGGATTATACAATGAATGAAACAAGCATTGATCCAACAGCGTATTCAACATACTTTAAGAAAGTACACTTTACTAGTCTACTTGTATTTGGAAATGCAGTCTTCAAGGTGATCTAAAAGAAAAACAGCTGGTAGGAAAATGTATGATTAAACCTTCTGTATGAAGCACAGAACTTCAGTTAATGTGAAAAGGAGTATATCACAAAAGCCAGCCAGTATCTCTTAAGGATCCCAGTTTGATTTCATAATATAAATTAAAACAATCAAGTATTTGCACCTTCAAAACTCATTTGGGATAAAAGAGTAGCTAAACTAAAGACCATCCAAGACAATTATACTAGTAATAAAACATTTATTAGAAGAAAACATGGAAAGTAAGGGACATGGCATGTCACAGAATCTTAACACAGTTTCAGATATATCTTCATAAAAATGCGAAGCAACATATTTCAACAAACAAGATTTTTTTCCTATTCTTCTGGGAAAAGTTTAAGAACATGCAATTAAAAATACCAAGCAAAACATTTCGCATCAACTTTCCAGAGGTGTATGACAGTCATTTAGAAAAAAAGTTTTGCACAGGTCCTCATGTCTGCTTCTTCAAAAAATCATTCCCAAATGTACAAGGTTTAAACTTGGCCCCCCCATCGCAGAAACTTGATACATGAAAGGTGCCTCTCCACCACACTCCTGAATCTAATCTTGGGGGTATAAGGAAGGAACAACTTTGCAAACACCCACAAAGTAGCAAACAAAAGATCCTAAATGAATATTGCTGAGAACAAAATTAATCCTACTTGCTTCCTATGTTTTCATAGCTGCATGCATGGTCTGTCTTTTCTATTCAAGATTAATGTAGCTTCAAGAATCTATACTTGTTAACAAGCCGATATAAGTAAACCTGGATCATTCCTAGATACAGAGAGGCTTCAGTCTAAGTAAATATCTGCTACAATTATTAGTTTTGTTGTGCACTTTAATCTCTGCTTCTGCAAGGAAGTTTTCAAAATATGAATGATAGGATGTTGCATAGATTAACATGGAGATTTCCATTTGTCCCAGGAAATGTGTCTATTCTACACACTATGGTAATTGCACTAAAATCAAAGGAGTCAAATTCCAGCCAAAGACCTAGTTTACACACAAATGGGAAGTGGCATTATTGCCTATGTATCTGCTGTGTAGTCTTTCCACATCTAAGAAACAATTCTAATTCTTTCTCCTTTCTCCTACTATCATGCAGATGCTATTAAGTGAATATAAAAGATAGAGGGAGTGATCTGCATCTGTTGCCTTCTTAACTGCTGAAACTACCGACAACTGACAAAACAAACAAACATACATACATACATACATTACATACATACAAAAGGAAATCAAACCTGGTATTCAGTAATTCAAAATGAAAGGAATTTAAATTAATCAGTGCTATTTCATCAGATGAAAAGTACAGAGCAGCTGAAAGACTGATACAAGCCATAATGAAGCAGCAGGCTTTCCATGCATGATCCAAGATGTTGGTGTGAAAGAGCTTATTCTCTTCCATCCTCGATTTCTGCCAAAAGGATCATCACAACTTTACAATGTCTGCTGGTTTATCAGTTTGATTTACTCTCAAGCAGTCCGTGAACTGTGTCTATGCGTGAAATTGACAAAAACGGAACTAAGGTTCTATGCCTGGGCACAGACAGTCACTATAGCCAGAAGAAAAATGTGTAAAGCATTCTTATTGTAGAAATTAAAAGGGTGCATGGGTAGGTACACCACCTAAACAAGTCACTTTCTGTCAAGTCTATATGAGGGAATTAAAATATACCCTATCCCATTTATTCCTATGTTTAGAAATATTTAGTTTTTAAAAAAATCACAAATTCTTCCGAAGGATCATAAGTGTTGTGAAACCACTCTGGATGGACGGATTTTTCAAAGGCAGAGCATGAAGAAATTATATTTAAAAGGGACATTTCTTTTGACCAAAGCATAAAATCGATGTGGCATTAAGGGGAGGTGGTTAATGAGTCAGGCTTCCTTGGGAAATGCTATTGTCCAGTCTTATCCTTCCAAATAGCCACTTCTGGTACTGAGACCTTTCTTAGAGAGAAACACCTTGTCATTTGAGGGGAAGCACAGATGCTTAACTATCCCACCGGCTTTTCTTGCGCTTGGGGGGTTCGGGAACTGCAAAACCATCTGTCTTGCTGTTGTCTCGATTGCTGCTTTCTTTCTTGTTCTCGTTATTCCTATTTTCAATATTTCTGTTTTCATTGTTGTTCCGGTCATTATTGTTCCGGCTGTCTCCATTATTTCTAGGGTCTCCATGGCGACTATTGCTGCTGCTTCCACCTCCAGAATGTCGGCCTTCACTGTGTCTATGGCTATCCCCATGGCGGTTTTCTCCATGGCGGTAGCCTTCCCCATGGCGCTGGCCGTCACTATGGCGACTGCTATCTCCATGGCGCTGGCTGTCACTATGACGACTGCTACCCCGATTGTCATTGTATCTTTCCCTGCCTCCACTGTTGCCTTCTCTGTTGTTGTTGATGGCATTTGCACTATTGTATCCCTGAATGCCTGTACTTGGAAAGCTAGAGATGCTGTTTAAGTTTCCAGAACTTGTGAAACCTGGGATACCTTTTGTTAAACCTGATACTGCTATGGGACTGTCAGGTTTAGCTGAGTTCTGCTGGGCTGAATTTGTTGGCACAGAGTTTAAGCTGCCTGCACTGGTCCAACCACTGGCACCTGCTGACGAACTGCCGGTCTTCTGGTTGCTAAAGCTGGCAGCAACAAAATGGCTCTTATACTGGGACTACAAGAGAAAAAAAACATTATAGTAAATATTATAATATTTATAAATTTTCTCAAAGAACATGGGCCTCTTCTTTAAACACCAATTAAAACTGGAGACTAAGCTTCTGCCTAGTAGTCAGAAATCATTGACTAGCACTGCTTTCTTGACTTAGAATAACAAGAGTTGGAAGAGAACTTGGAAGTCTTCTAGTCCAACTCCTTGCTCAGGCAAGAAACCTTCTACCATTTCAGACAAAGAGATTGTCCAATCTCTTCTTAACTACTTTCAGTGTTGGAGCATTTACAATTTCTGGAGGCAAGTTGTTCCACTGATTAATTGTTGTGTCAGGGAATTTCTCTCCTTGATTAGTTTCCACCCAGTGCTGCTTGTGCTACCCTCAGGTGTTTTGTAGAATAGTTTGACTCCCTCTTTTTTGTGGCAACCCCTGAGATATTGGAACACTGCTATCATGTCTCCCCCTAGTCCTTCTTTTCATTAAACTAGACATACCCAGTTCCTGCAACCGTTCTTCATGTTTTAGTCTCCAATCCCCTAATCATCTTCGTTGCTCTTCTCTGCACTCTTTCTAGAGTCTCAACATCTTTTTTACATCGTAGCATTTAAAACTGGACGCAGTATTCCAAGTGTGACCTTACCAAGGCATTATGAAGTGGTATTAACACTTCATGTGATCTTGATTCTATCCCTCTGTTTATGCAGCCTAGAACTGTGTTGGCTTTTTTGGCAGCTCAAATGTTGAAGTTTGTCAAGATCCTTCTGTATCTTAAGCCTATCTTCTGGAGTGTTGGCTAAATAATCTGTTTTGATTTGAGAGGTGGAGTGGGGAATTGTTAGGTGGTGCTTAATCTCCCTTGCAGCCCTCAAGTCTTCATGTGATAATTTGAATTAGCAAGATTTCCTTCTTCATAGATAATCTGGTTCAAATAGGAGGCACTGGGTTTCAAAGACTAAACGCCATCTTGGAGTGAAAATCCTAATGGCAGCAGTATTAGAATGAGGGCAATGAGAGCTTAATATGGGGTCCCTTTCATACTAACCTGAAACGCTGCTTTCATTGCAGATAACCTGTCCCCCATTGCTCCTGAGGATGGCTTATATGCTTCATAGTTGACCATTACACTGTTGTTTCCCCGATCCTACGGCACAAAGTTGCATTGTTGAACTGAGGTAGAAGTCTTGGGCATGCTTAATAGCAATAAATATGTTTGTTATCTAGGCATCAATGCTTACCACATTCTCTGATCCTAAGCCAGGCCGCTCACGGTATCCCAGGCCACCACCACCAATATTTAGCTTCTTGCCCTTCCCTCCCTTGAAACGTGATTTCCGGAACCAAGCATTCTGGGAAAGAAAATTGTGACAATAAAAAATGTTGGGTTGGGTTTGATATGTCAGCATATTATTGTGTTTTATATATTCCGGTTACTCTGGCAAGTGAAAGCAAAACTACAGGTGCTCTTTTCATTCTGTAAGTCCTGACTTCTATAAACCCAGTTTTATATAAACATTTTAATAGAACCCATCTAATATTTTTGTCATACATTCCATAGCTCTATTCTTAGGACCTTGCTTTAGAATAGCTTCCACTTTCCATCTCTGCAGTGGTTCTTTCTATAATCTGCTTTCCCTTCTGCTGACACAACACTACATGGCTACCAGTAAACAAATCTCTGAGTTAAACTTACAATTCCTTCTCACCCCTTCACTTTTCTTTAATGTATATAGGTGAACTATAGAGCAAGAACCAGTTAATGACTGATGCTGTAATGCCTATCTAGCCTCCTCCTTCCTTATAAATCCCCCAAATGCCATTGGTAATTACTGAATATATGTTGGCTTGTGGGATACTTGGTCTAATTCTGACTTATGCAAATATCAAATTAATCAATGCTTTCCAGAACAGAACATTTATGCAAGTTGAAGAGTGCCGATAATTAAATTAAATGCAGCTTCCATAGTCAATTAAAATATAAAAATTGTTATCACATCATAAATATAATCATAACACATGCAGATAAACCCTTTTCCATTTTATCTCATTAAAAATGTCAACTTGGTGGCAAATTTTCAAGTGGGCATGCTGTTTAATATCTTTGGATTATGCATCACCATTTCTACAACTGTGTGAGTCAATACAGTTAATGTTGATCAATGTTCTAACTCAGGGGTCCCCAACCTCTGATCCATGGACCATTGCGGATGGGTCATGCAAATGGTGGGTGATTGCGTTGAAGCTCCATTTGTGCAAGTGGTGGGTATTCACGCAAAACCATCTCCTCTCCCCCATCGCCGCTGGTCCCCAGAGCCGGAAAAGTTGGGGATTGCTATTCTAACTTTTCCCGTTTTGTCTGACATAGACAAAATGTATAATAAAATTTCAAGTAAATTCACTCCATCTTACTTTAAATTTACAATTTACACTT